ATGGGTGAGTGGATGGATGAGTAGATGGATTGGTAAATGGATGGATGGGTGAATGAGTTGATGGATGGATGGATGGATGGATGGATGGATGGATAGATGAATGAGTGGATGGATGAATGGATGGGTGGATGGGTGAATGAGTTGATGAATGGGTGGATGAGTGGGTGAATGTATGGATAGATGGATGGATGGATGGATGGATGGATGGATGGATGGATGGGTAGATGAATGGATGGATGGGTGAATGAGTTGATGGATGGATGGATGGGTGGGTAGATGGATGGATGGGTGAATGGATGGATCGATGGGTGAATGAGTTGATGGATGGATGGATGGATGGATGGATGGATGGATAGATGAATGAGTGGATGGATGAATGGATGGATAGATGAATGAGTGGATGGATGAATGGATGGATGGATGGGTGGGTGGGTAGATGGATGGATGGATGGGTGAATGAGTTGATGGATGGGTGAATGAGTTGATGGATGGATGGGTGAATGAGTTGGATGGATGGTGGATGGGTGAATGAGTTGATGGATGGATGGATGAGTTGATGGGTGGGTGGATGGATGGATGGATGGGTGGATGAATGAATGAATGGATGGAAAGTTGGATGGATGGATGGATGGATGGATGGATGGATGGATGGATGGATGGATGGATGCATGGGTGGATGGGTGAGTAGGTGGATGGGTGAATGGGTTGATGGATAGAAGAGTGGATAGGTGGATGAATGGATGGGTGGGTGGATGGATGGATGAGTGAATGGATGGATGTGTGAATGGGTGGATGGTTAGATGGGTGGGTGGATGGATGGGTGAATAAGTTGATGGATGGGTGGGTAGATGGATGAATGGGCAGGTGGATGGATGAGTTAATGGATCATGGGTGAATGGATGGATGGGCACATGGATGAGTGGATGGATGGATGGATGGATGGATGGATGGATGGATGGATGGATGGATGAGTCCATTTTCAAGATAGAATATCCCTAGTCCTCCCCAGCCTTTTCCTGCCTGTCTGTTTAGGGCACATTGCCAACACTGTTCAGGTCTTTGCCTGCCCTGTCATCCTTTGTCCAGGGGCAGGTAAACCTAGTGGTCAGTGTGTCTCCTGAGCACTGACATGGTTTCAGGGATTTGTGCTGCAGACCTTGTCCATTCCATTTACTTGGTGGCTGCTTCTCAGTCCCTTTTTGAAAACAGGAATCGAATCAAAAAAACATGTTATTTCTTTCCTGGAGTTGGCAGGGATTTTGAGGAAGCTGCCTGGGGAAGGAGAGGGCCATGTCTGTGCCAAGCATGAAGCAGTTAGCATGTGACCAAGAGAAAGCCCAGAGTGGTGAAGCAAGTTTTCTGAAACCACGCAGCCGATGGTCTCATAGTCTGGTGTTGCTCACGTGCTGCTGTCAAGGACTGAAGAGCCCCAGTGACAAACGACAACTAAGGAAACTGAGGCATGGGGAGGTGCCAGTATTTATCTGGGGTCTACAGCTAATCTGAGCCATTTCCTAGGGTGGGAGTGAGATGCTGGGTCCTCCTGCCACCCAAGTTCGGCAGGACGACCCCCACATTGCTGTCCCCAGCCTAGTTCCACTTCCTCCTGCCGTCTCCAGAAGGAAGCAGATACTTCCTATCTGGGTCAGGCAGCCTGGCCAGGCGGAGAGAGCTGTTACAGCCACAACCCACTATGGAGGTCTCTGGGAAGGGAAGAGCGCCCGCAATTGTGCCCCAGAGCTGCATCTGCCTCCTTGTGCTTCAGAGCTTCAACAGTGATGTGTCACGGGATGTTCCTGAGCCCTGGTGTGGGGGAGTCACGGCTGCTTCCATCTCACGTGTGGGGGCCACAGTCCACACCTGCTTCCATTGCTCATCCCTTGCTTCGTGCAGCTGTGGGGCTGCATCTGTCCCTGGACCCAGAGCCTCACGGGTTCCCTAGGCGCCAGCCAGCAGCCCTAGGATCCCCCTGTCTGTGCCTTCCAAGCACTGGGGATTCAGTTTTAGGTACTCAGGACTGGATAGCAAATGATTCACCAAGAGACGCCCCAGCCCTACTATTGTGATTACTGCGGCCACTGGGTCACTCTGGCTGACCTGCAACTACATCAAACCCCCTAAATTTGAATCTAACTGTAAGACTGCTGGGAGTAAGGGCGTGTCCCACAGAGTTGGCCCTGTTGTATTGTTTTAACTGACTCCCCCCCCCCCCCCCCCCCCCCCCCCCCCCCCCCCCGTCTTTAACAAAATTTATTTTCATCGAGGTAAAATTCACATAGTCACAGAGCATGCAGCCTGTCATTGTAACCTGATCATGCCCGTAGCATGTGCTCATGTGTTCTGAGACACGGACTTCAGTCTTCGGTTTTATTTTTTTTATTAATTATTTTCTTTTTTTGTTTGTTTGTTTTGTTTTTTGAGACAGGGTTTCTCTGTGTAGCTTTGCGCCTGTCCTGGATCTGGCTTTGTAGACCAGGCTGGCCTTGAACTCACAGAGATCCGCCTGCCCCTGCCTACCCAGTGCTGGGATTAAAGGTGTGCACCAACACCGCCCAGCTAATTAATTATTTTCATTTGACATCCAGACCACAATTTCCCCTCCCTCCCTCCTCCCCTCTGCTCCGCTCCACCCCTCCCCACTCACTCCTGTTTCTGTCAGAAAGGCAGGCCACCCTTGGGTGTCAACAAAGCATGGCCTATCAAACTGAGATGGGACTAAGCTCCTCCTCCTGTATTAAGGCTGGCTGAGGCACCC